CTGACGGCTTCTCCGCTGAGTTCTATAAATCTCATCAGGCGTCCTTTGTATCCCACCTCACTAATATTTGCAATAATATTCTGCAAACTGGAGAGCTTCCCCCATCTTGGAACTTGGCTAAAATTATAGTTATCTTAAAAAAGGATAAAGACCCCCTAAACCCGGGCTCTTACCGCCCGATATCCATATTAAACGTGGATTATAAAATTTTTACCGCTACCCTTGCATCCAGATTAAGCAAAATAATCAATCCTTATATTAACCTAGACCAAACAGGATTCATCCCGGGGCGAGACATCTCTGATAATACTAGAAAAATTGTCGATATCATTCACTATTGTCAGCTTAAACAAATTCAAACCTCCTTTATCCTATCGATAGATATGGAAAAGGCGTTTGATTCCGTGGAACCAAAATATTTAGGCTCCCTTTTGAAAGAGATGAACTTCGGCCCTCTATTCCAAAAGGCTGTTAAAGCTATGTATACAAAACCACAAGCATATATCCAAATTAACAATTCTGACACTGAAACTTTTGTTTTAGCCAGGGGTACGAGACAGGGTTGCCCCCTTTCACCTCTTTTATTTGCGCTGGCTATTGAACCTCTTGCGCAAGCCATACGTGATCACCCTCAAATTCAGGGGATAGATATTGGAAACAAAACTATGAAATTAAGCTTGTTCGCAGATGATCTAGCTGTAACCTTAACAAATCCAAAAGGCTCCATACCCCCTTTAATAGACCTTCTAAATAGCTTTGGTAACATTTCTGGATTAAAAGCTAACCCCAACAAGACCCAAATATATCCTGTTCTACTTTCACAGGACCATAAGGATTACATCTCAACTAATTATCCCTTTAATTGGACCGTTAAACCTTGGACCTACCTTGGCATTAAAATTCCCACCAATATTGGCGAATTGTTCAAGGTTAACTTCCTACCTCTCACTAAATCACTGAATAACCATTATCTAAAGGAGGCTACTGCCTCCTCGTCATGGATGGAACGTATCCAGATCATTAAAACTTTCATTTTCCCTAAATTTTTATTCTTATTTCGCGCGCTACCCATAATTATCCCTAAAGAACAATTTAAAATTTGGCAACGGGCTTTATCCAACTATATCTGGAACTCAAAGAGACCTAGAATAAGTATAAATACTCTAAAAAGACCAGTGAGTAAAGGCGGCCTAGCCCTCCCAGATGGAGAGCCAATATTTGGATGGTTGCCCTCTACAATCCACCCTATGGGAAAAACCAAATTCCAGGCCTAAAGATCTTATTCACAGCCCATTCTTGCTAAACACACTTAGGATCTGGGATAAACATAAATCACAATTAGCCCCATCTCCCTCCCCTTTAACTTCATTTACTTACCAATCTTGGTTTTCTCCGGCCAGAAGTCCAGGAACTTTTGAAGTTTGGAAGACACACCATCTTACTCGATTTGGAGATGTTTTACATGGTAATGAGCTAGCCTCTAAAGTGATTCTGGAACAAAAACACAAGTGTCACTTCCCTTGGTTAGAATACTCCCAATTGGCATCGCTTTTCAGAACTTGGAATCTGGGCAGTAAAAAGGTTCGCCCCTTGTCTCCATTTGAGGTACTTTTGGCGAAAAAACGCTTAATACTTCATGGGGGAATATCCATTTTATATAAACTGCTCTTAGAGTCCTGCCCTTTACGGTCATTAGGTTACCAGAGCAGTTGGCAGAAAGACTGCGCTACTCCACTAACAGATAAAGACTGGGAAGTAATTTGGTCTTCTAACACTCTGTGCTCCGACTCCATAAATATTCGTCTTCAGGCTTATAAAGTCTTGATGCGGTGGTATACTACACCGGAAACAATTCACCATATTTCCTCTGCCTACTCCCCCCTTTGTTGGAGAAATTGTGGGGGTCGTGGGTCCTTTTTACACTGCTGGTGGAGCTGTAAAGTCGTTTCTCATTTTTGGTCTGAGGTGTTGCACTTTGTCTCAGAGATTACAGGGTATGTTATTGATAAAACTCCAGAGACAGTACTACTGGATTTGAGGAAAGGAAGTACGATTCCTCCTATTCGGCAAGAACTCATCTCGCTTCTTTTATTAGCAGCTAAGTCTGTGATCGCTGCCAGTTGGAAGGAATCTTCCCCAATATCATTGAATAGATGGTTTTGTAAAATTTGGGAAACCTTAACTATGGAGAAAATAGCAGATTCCTATCCAAGCAGCGGGACTGGTGAAACAAACAATAGTAAAATGCTTAAATGGCTGCCCTTTATTGAATATGTAGTTACACATTCTCCTTCTTTGAAATCTTCTATTCCTAACAACTATCGTGATATACTTACCTTTCTGTAATTGCTACTGTATTGAATCACATTCTATGTACACTGTACCGGTTCTACTGTATATTTGTTTACTGAGTTCCTTACTGTTACTATTTTGCCCTTGGCTACCCCAGTTTAAGTGTTAATGTTGTTGGTTTTCTACTAGTTAATTGTACTGTTTTGATTACAATAAATTTATTTTAAAATTAAAAAAAAAAAAAAAAAAAAAAAACAAGGAACCTGGTGTGCTCCTCCTCTCCTTGTCTCCTGCGCAATGGACATGTCTTTCCATCTCGGCTCTTCCTCCTCCCCTTGTTTTCCTATAATCTGACCTCAGCTCGGCAAGTGTGCCAGGGAATAACTGTGCTTATTGACAGGTGGGTGGGGGAGAGCGAACAAAGCAGGAAAAGACTGGAGGAAGCCCTCGACAGGGGACAGGAATTGGCATATCCAGGTGACTATATGAGGGAGCAGGCTCCAGTGCAGACTCCACTAGGAAGGTTCAAGAGTATTGTCTTCAGGCTCTTCCTGGTTTTCTGAGCCACCCCTTTGATTGCTCTTCATTTACAGGGCCTTCATTTATTGCAAGTCGTGTGCTGAGATTCTGGGAAACAGGAACAAGGGGCTTTGTTTAAAGGTACTGGAGAGGATCCAATTGCTGTGCAGTGGTTAGAGTATCTGACCAGGATCTAGGAGACACGGGTCTGAATCCCCACCCTGCCGTGGAAGCTCACTGGTTCACATTCTCTCAGCATAACTTACAGTGGAGGAGAGGAGAACAAAGCAGGCTGCTGCTTTGGGTTCCCACTGGGGAGAAAGGCCCGTGTATCAGTGAAGTAAATAAAGGCATGCATTTGTGACAAAGGGGGCGTTAGACTTTCAAATTGTTTGACTATTTGTTATTTATTTAACAATGGGATGACCATCCTCCGTTTCCATCCTTGCATAGAAGCCAGTGCTGCCAGGAATTTAGCCACAGTAATACCAGGTTCAGCATTAGCTGAGCAGGGAAGACATAGAAACAAGACAAACCTTGGAAAACCATCACGTGCTGTATCCGCGGATCTCTCAAAGGGACCATCAACACACATTCAAAGAAAACATGGGATAAAGTTCAAATCCCCGCAGACCCACATGTGCGCAAAGTATCTGAGTAGGGTACTTCTTGGAATCTACCCACCAAAACACCAGAGGGGAAGCATCTCACTTAGCCAAAAGAAAAGCTCTTTGGTATTTGGGGACAGTCAGTTGAGGAAAAGAAGATAGAAAGGTGTCTGTGGGCAGGCATTTCTTGGTTGTACAAATTGAGTGCACTCTGTTCCTGTGCAGCTAGAGAGTTTTTCTCCTTCTCTGTTTAAAAAGGAAGAAGGAATGGTTGTTCTCGAGGGGCCTTTCCTTGTATTACAGCGCAGACTGTTATGCCTCACAGTTTGCTGTACAGCACACAAACAGCAGTATAGCAGCATCTAATAGAAGAAAACATTTCATTCTGGCAGAAAAACGTGTGCACAGGGCAGGGGAGAAGGCAGAATCTGGTTATTGAGTCCAGAAATGATAACTGCCTTTATATATAAAGCCAGTGCCTGGTTTCTGCCTGGCGTTGTTTTGTGTGAGCAAGGAGATGCTGTTCATTTATTTATTTGATGTATGACTTGTGTACTGTTTTGTTTCTTGGTGAAGATATGCTTCCCCCCTCCGAATGCTACAGTGCATCATCACTGTGCACAAAACAAACACAGAGGAGTTTCCCTCCCTCGTTGCTGGGGTTGAGTGAACTTGAAATGGGAGGCTGGCCACAGGGAGAGGGGGGAGAGGGTGGAAGTGTCCTCATTTTGTGCTCACCCAGGGATGGTTTGGATTATCAGCTTTGCAGGGTGGATACCACTTCTTTCCTGGGCCCCTTCCCATCTCCTTGCCAGGTATTTTGTTGGGATCTGCATCCAAAGCTGGACAGCCAGCTACAAATATTGGCTGTGTACACTAATCAATACCAAATCAAAGAGCTGCAATGAGAAATGCTTGGGAAACTTTGTGTGGCTTGTTAAATGAAGCAGGTGCTATATTTTGACTGCTGTTGTAGTTCCAGTGTAGCCTGGTGAGCCTCAAAGTTCACTCCAGGTTGACAGCTGGACATGCTGAGGCTGTTTCTACTGGAGGAGCCTTCAGGGCATTGTTGCTATGTTTTATTGGCAGCAAACAGAAAAGAACTACTGCAAACTGTGCATATTGCAAACTTATATTCAATGCAATAACAATATATCAGACTATGTTTTACAGAAAACTGAAGCCAATGATGTCAATGAAGATGGATGGACGAACTCCCGCGGAGTTGATATTCGTTTCGAGGCGTCTTTTTCATACATCAAACCTCATGCGTGTCTCCACATGGTCACAACTCTTCCAAATTGGATATTTCCTTAATTCCTATACGCTTTGGTGTTATTCATAAGATGTTCTCAATCATAATATCAAAAACGGGCTGATCATCATGACCATTATTGCATTGAATATAAGTTTGCAATATGCACAGTTTGCAGTAGTTCTTTTCTGTTTGTATCCTTATCATACTGCAACCCCCCTCTATCTTTTTGGTTTTATGTTTTATTGGCAGAGCAATTCAAGCTGAAATTGTGACCAGAGGTGCATCATTTAGTAGTAAAGGTTGCATTTCCCTTTCCTTTCCAGTTCATCTTGTGGATATTTGGAACATGATTGAAGCCTTCCGAGACAATGGCCTTAATACCTTGGATCACAACACAGAGATCAATGTGTCTCGACTGGAAACCATAATTTCATCCATCTACTACCAGCTGAATAAACGCCTTCCTTCTACTCACCAGATCAGTGTGGAGCAATCCATCAGCCTTCTCCTTAACTTCATGATAGCAGCGTATGACAGGCTAGTAACTGCCTCGGTTGTTTTTTTCTCTTGAAGTAGTCCATGTCGCTTGCAAGCGGATGTTGCCTATCCCAGGAGCCTGAGGTCTTTCATGCCCACATTGAAGCAGATGGCATAGGAGGCATGCCCTTGTTCCAGCCTTAAGATCTTGTCTGAGCAAGATGTTTATCTCCCTGTTGTGTCTTGTTTCTTCAGGCTACAGACAATGTTCCCTCTAAGCTGTAGAATCCTGTGAGCAAAAATTCTACTTTGTGAGCTACCGGCATTAAAGTTGTGAGCAGGTGATTTGGCTACTGCATAAATTAGTGTGTTCTGAAGCCATCCTTCCTGAGCTGAGACAAAAATGTGTGAGCCGGAGGCTAAAAAACTGTGAGCTAGCTCACACTAACTCAGCTTAGAGGGAACACTGGCTACAGATACAGGCCACCATGTTAGCTCATGAGCTGTGCTTGTTGCTCTTTGTGTATGTAAAGAGTAGCTAAAAAGAGCCAGCAAGAATGTACAGTTTTAGTGCTGTTACGGTTTTTACACTTACTGCAGGTGCCAGAAATAACAGTACTCAGCCAAATAGGGCATTGGAACTTTCTTGGGCCACTGTTTTGGGGCAGAGGGAGAGGCAGGATATTATTGTTTTATATAAAGAAATGGTCTTCTGCGGGGAATCAGTGCTGTTCAACACTGGGTTATCGATCTGAACTGAGGAACAGACAGCATACTGATTAGAGTCCAAGTTGATGCAAAACTGGGAGAATACTGAAGTACCTTTAAATGAGACTCATGGAGTTGCTACTAGCCATGGTGACTAAAGGGAACCTCCATGTTCAGAGTCAGTAAAACTCTGAATACATAAGAGCATAAGAGAAGCCAATGTTGGATCAGGCCAATGGCCCATCCAGTCCAACACTCTGTCACACAGTGGCCAAAAATATCAGGTGCCATCACGAGGTCCATCAGTGGGGCCAGGACACTAGAAGCCCTCCTACTGTTGCCCCCCCCCCCAGCACCAAGAATACAGTGCATCACTTGCCCCAGATCAAGAGTTCCTATCTATACCTTGTGGCTAAGAGCCACTGATGGACCTCTGCTCCATATGTTTATCCAATTCCCTCTTGAAGCCGTCCATGCTTGTAGCCGCCACTACCTCTGGTGGCAGTGAATTCCATGTGTTAATCACTCTTTGGGTGAAGAAGTACTTCCTTTTATCTGTTCTAACCCGACCTCTCAGCAATTTTATTGAGTGCCCATGAGTTCTTGTATTGTGAGAAAGGGAGAAAAGTATTTCTTTCTCTACCTGCTCTATCCCATGCATAATCTTGTAAACCTCAATCATGTCACCCCTCAGTCATCGTTTCTCTGTTAAAGAGCCCCAAGCGCTTTAACCTGTCCTCATAGGGAAAGTGTTCCAACCCTTTTATCATTCGAGTTGCCTTTTTTACACTTTTTCCAATGCTATAATATCCTTTTTGAGGTGTGGTGACCAGAACTGTACACAGTATTCCGAATGAGGTCGTACCATCGATTTATACAGGGGCATTATGATACTGGCTGATTTGTTTTCAGTTCCCTTCCTCATAATCCCCAGCATAACGTTGGCCTCTTTTATTGCAGTCACACACTGTCTTGACATTTTCAGTGAGTTATCTACTACGACTCCAAGATCTCTCTCTTGGTTAGTTTCTGCCAGTTTGGACCCCATCAACGTGTATTTATAGTTAGGATTTTTGGCTCCAATATGCATCACTATGCACTTGGCCACATTGAACCCCATTTGCCATGTTGTCGCCCACTCACCCATCCTTGACAGATCCCTTTGAAGTGCCTCACAATCCTCCCTGGTTATCACCACCCAGAACAATTTTGTGTCACCCACAAATGTAGCCACTTCACTGCTTACTCCCAACTCCAAATCATTAATGAACAAGTTAAAAAGCATCGAACCGAGTACTGATCGGTTCTGGGTACCCCACTGCTTACCACCCTCCACTGAGAAAATTGCCCATTTATACTCACTCTCTGTTTTCTGTTAATTAGCCAGTTGTTAATCACTCTTTGGTCAGGAGTGTGGACTCTAATCTGAGAGAGAACAGGGTTTGATTCCCCACTTTTCCACATGCAGCCGCTAGTGGGATGTTGGGTCAGTTACAAGTTCTCTCAGAGCTGTTCTCTCAAGAGCAGTTCTCTCAGAGCTCTCTCAGCCCCACCTACTTCACAGGGTGTCTGTTGTGGAGAGGGAAAGGGAAAGGAGTTTGTAAGCCACTCTGAGACACCTTTGGGTAGTGAAGGGCGGGGTATAAATCCAATCTCCTCTTCTTCTTCTTCTTCTTCTTCTTCTTCTTCTTCTTCTTCTTCTTCTTCTTCTTCTTCTTCTTCTTCTTCTTCTTCTTCTTCTTCTTCTTCTTCTTATTAATTAGCCAGTTTTTGATCCACAAGAGGACTCGTCCTTTTATCCCATGACTATTGAGCTTGCTTAGGAGCCTTTGATGAGGAACTTTATCAAAAGCTTTCTGGAAGTCGAGGTAAACAATGAGTCCCCCCCTGTCCACATGTTTGTTCATTCCCTCAAAGAACACTAACAGGTTAGTGAGACAAGATCTTCCCTTACAGAACCCATGCTGAGTCTGCCTCAATAGTTTTTGTTCATCAGTGTGCCTACAAATTCTCTCCTTAACAACAGTTTCTACCAACTTACCCAATATCGACATCAGACTGACTGGCCTGTAATTTCCCGGGTCTCCTCTGGAACCCTTTTTAAAGATGGGAATGACATTAGCTACCTTCCAGTCCTCAGGAATGGAGGCAGATTTTAATGAAAGATTACGTATTTTTGTCAGGAGATCCACAAGTTCACATTTGAGTTCTTTCAGAACTCTTGGATGTATGCCATCTGGCCCTGGTGATTTATCAGTTTTCAAGTTGTCTATCAGTCGTAGGACTTCCTCTCTTGTCACCTCAATCTGACTCAGTGCCAGGAGACAACACCAGGGAAGGCCATGGCCTGTGTGCCCTGTTATTGGCCCTCCAGAGTAACTGGTTGGCAACTTTTTGAGATGCGATGCTGCACTACTAGTCTGATCCAGCGGGACTCTCCTTATGTTAGAAAGGCAACTCCACTTGAGCTGGGTGAAATGAGAGCCAAGTGGGCAGCTAGCATGATGGAAGGGAGTAAGAGTGCTGTAAAGAAAGCTGGTGGGCCATTTGTGAATGACAAAATGAACAAGACTGCCCTCTAGGATTGAAGCTCTTCCTAATCAGCTTCCAGGAGGCAGAAAACTTGGCAGCCTAGTTCAACTGGAGAAGAGCAGCTTGTGTCAACATGGAAAAGTTCAGGGAGATGTGAGTGAATGTTAGTTTTTAAGGCGTAGAGATTCGAAGGTTCTTTTAGTGGCCCATTTGTAGTGTCCTGTCCCTGTGAGAGCCCATTTTGGCTGAAAAGACCAAGACTCTTGTCTTCTGAGTGTGATTGCATTGAGGACGATGATCTTGTGGAATTGACACATGTGCTTCCATAGCTTTTATGTTGACAGAAAGTGTATTCGAAAACACACAGGCAGCCCATGCAGCAGCTTCTGGCATTCCTGGAGCTGAGCTCCTGTGTCTTTCATAGCTTTATGCCAAGTGTAAATAATGTCAATGTCAACCCACCAAACTGCATTTCTTCTTGCAAACCCCACCCCAAACCTAATTCTGACTTCTGCAAAAACTCAGTATCAGGGTGGAATCCAAAGAGCTACTTTTAAGTGCACTCACTGAGATGACTTTTTCTTCCTTTTAGACAGACTTCCATATTGGAATCCTTGTTTCGGTGGTAATTTGCCACATGGTATTGGGGGTGGCTGGTTCGAGACATCTGTGAAGTATAATGGTTAAGAGAACAAACTGTGATGCAGCTCATGAATTCATTCTGGGGGGTGGGGTGGGGTAATAATAAAGGCTCTCTTCCTGGTTTAGTCTGCGTGGATTCATCTTCAGTGTGTGCCTTCACTGGTCTCAGGTGACCTGATGTCAGTGACCTCATAGGAACGCTTTCCCTTAGAAACCCCTGTAGCCCATTGTCTTTGGGGAGATCTGGCTGAGCTACTGCTTCTCACAAAAGGGTCACAATAATTCACATGCCTCTTCTGCCAAGTAAAACTTTATCAAAGGTTGGGGGGGGATAGAACCCTGTGTGTAGCCCCCAATTACTCACGTGCCATCTGGAGCTTATGATTTGCTAGTAAACTAGCTCATGTGAGAAATGCCTGGTGCACTTTCTGCTCTTAATTGAGAATGGCTTGTGGGGGGCACTGGTGGCTGAGCCTCATGCAGCTACAGTCACAAAATGTGAGAATCTGCATCGCAGCAAGATAATTTAAGCCATGTGTCACACAAGTAGCTGCAGTTGCCTAAGTGGTGTCTTGGAGGGCAAGAATGATTGACAAGCCTGATTCAAGACATGCTGTTTATTGCTGATCTCAGTAGCTGCCTTTCCCACTGTTGCTGAAAACTTTTCTTCATACATGCTTCATTCTGTCCACATGAGATTTCTGAGTGAGCAGTTTGTTCAAGCATTGTGCTGGCACAACAGAAAAAATTAGTTCAGTGGCGCTTTTTCTGGAATTCGGGAACTTTCTAGCTCTATGTGATTCACATCAAATAGTCTTTAGTATTTCCATAGTACGTTCAGCATTATATTGAAGTCCTTTCAACACCCCTGTAAGTTAGGCCACTGTCTCTCTATTTTGGCTGAGTGTGGATGCTGAAGTAGGGTGGGTTGCTTAAAAAATGTGGTGAGTTTGTGGCAGAGGTGAGTTTTGAACAAGGAACATTAGGGCTCAGTCTTAGTGTAGTATAAAGGCCCTTTGCCTGCCTTAACTCATATACATCTTGGCTCTCTCTGTTACCTGTGCACCAGTGCTCCCTCTAAGCTGTGGAGTCTTGTGAGCAAAAATTCTACTTTGTGAGCTACTGGCATTAAAGTTGTGAGCGAGCGACTTGGGTGCTGCATAAATTAGTTTGCTCTGGGGTCATCCTTCCTGAGCTAAGGCTAAAATATGTGAGCTGGAGGCTAAAAAAACGATGAGCTAGCTCACACTTAGCTTAGAGGGAACACTGCTGTGCACACTTAGGAAATAGCAATGGCTTGTATCCTACCACTCCAGTCAGCTAAGTTTGAAGCTTTCCTCCAACCTAGGGAGTCTTTTCTCCAGTTTGTGGCCTCTTCCTCTGAAGGAAGGCTTCAAACTTAGCCGAGTGGAGTGGTAGGATAAGGCCAGTGGGTTTCGTCTGTGTTGTTCTGAAAGCCCAGCATGACAGATTTCCTACATAGATAGATATCCTACATAGATAGCTCTTCCACGCAGGAAAATCTGTGCAAATGATGTGTAGATTGTCAGTTATTACCGTATCCATCTGCCTCTGTGTGTATCCATACAAGGAAGCACATTTGCATCTTCTTGGTGTGCATGCCTCCAGTAAAAGTAATCATGGGGGAATCTATAGAAAATGTAGTCTATAGAAAATCATCACATTTTGGCATCAGTGCAGAGATTCTGCAGTGTCATAAATGGCTTCTCTGTAGGGTGCTGAGTTCGGACAGCTGGTGTAAGCAACTGGCTAACATTTTGCTTCAGGGTGGGAAATGGCATTTGGAACCTGTCATATTTTGAGTAAAGTTCCATGGGGAATATTTTTGCAGGGCAGACTGCTAAAATCCACAAGAGAATCTTTTCAGTGCTCCACTGTAATAGTAGGAACAGCATTAAGGTCTAAAAGCCTGGTTCCTCACCAAGGACTTCTGGGGGTGGCTGCAGGAAAAGTAAAGGTTGAAAACATTGGGGTGGATCCAACGAGCCTTCCCACTCAAATTCTCCCAACTCCCATCCTTAATTCTGCTCCTGTCTTACATAGCTTTTGTCCCTGCTGGTCCTCAGCGTAACCTTTTTGGATGGTCAAAGGAGACCCTTCTTCCCTTTTTTACATCAACAGAAAAGCTGGTTGGGTCCACCTCATTGAATTAAATAAAGTTGGCATGCATTAGTGCATGCTGTTATTGTGTCTTCAGTAATTAGAAACTCTTGCGCTGTAATTATGGCCTTTGTTTCACAGTGAGGGCCACGGGAAGTTGACGGTGTTTTCCATAAAAGCCATGTTGGCAACCATGTGTGGTGGGAAAATTCTGGACAAGTTAAGATGTGAGTATAACACAGAAATATCTTGTTTAAGGTCAGTGTTTCTCCTGGTAAGTTAGCACAAAGATTCTGGCTCTTTTCCTTGCTGTCACGCTAGGGAAGGTTTCCCTGAGCCTGGCATTCAGTCTATTTAATGCTATTTTCATATTGTTTTTCCAAATGCTCAGTCCAGTGTACAATTTCAAGGTGCTGCCTGGATCCTCTGGTCAGGTGGCTAAGGAGGAACAAACTTGAAGCTGAATCCAGATAAGACAGAGATGCAGCAAGAAGGATGATAGTGCAGGTGTGGAAACAGCAGGTTGTTTTGTAGAGAAAGGATTGACTGTGAAGAATCTGGCATGTAATGTTAATAGATAAGCTCACAACTCATAAATATATGTGGGAAAGAAAATGTAGTTAAAAATCGCTTCCTTTTTGTTAAATGTTGGAATTTGTACAATTCACTTGATGAGGTTAGGCAGAGAAGTTCATTGGATTTATTTCTTTTGTATTTTTATTATATAGGACTTGAATTTTGATGTACTTCAGAATTAGAACTTTTTTAAAAAAAAGACCACCTCTGATCAGAAGTCCTGACAGTCTGGAGAGGGAATTATGTTGCCAACTTTCAACGTAGTAACTCATTGGCATCATAGACAATTGGTTTGGGTATACTGCTGAATGTGGCTTTGTTGATGGATAGGCAAATTAGTAGTGTTGGTAGAAGGCAATTTTAGCAATTACATCTAGTTTGTAGATTAACTCCATTTCTAGATCTGGCTGATCTGTCCTCACTGATCCACTCTACTGTAACCTTAAGGCTGGATTCATGCGCTTTACATGGAGCTGAACGTGGGGACAACCGGGAAATGTCAATCCATTCAAAATACACAGGCTCACCTTTTGAACAAGATGCCTCATTCTTGTTACATTACACCTGTCTTAGAATATCTGCATCGGCTGCCATTATGTTTCCGGGCTCAATCAAATGTGTGGGTTTTGAACTATAAAGCAGTCTATGGCCTAGGGTCCATGTATCCGAAGGGCTGCCTTTCTCTGTGTGAATCTGTATTCCAGTTTCATTCATTACACTGTCCCTTGTTTTAGGAACAGTCATTCTGTGGTGACCTGTTCCAGGGCTTTCCAGTTGTGGTTCTGCTCTGTAATGGGCTGCCAATAGAAACAAGGATTGTTTCTTCCCTGCTTATGCTTAGGAGAGCCTGTAAGGCATTTTTATTCAAGAGCTTTTTGAGTGTTTTTATGCAGCTTGTGGTGGATGGAATATATTTTTAAGCTGTTACTAGTTCATGTGTGTTCTGGTTTTATTGCAGTGCCCCATGCATACTTGTATACCACTATGAGCCCATGCTGGTCACATAATAAAATCGCATATCAGAATACCAAAAAAATTAACCACAGCAGCAGGAGTCAACAGATGCACTTTCCAGCATATCCTTTTAACCTGGCAAATGCTTTTGTGATGAAAATGCTAAGTGAGAGATGTGTGGGGTGCCACCTCTGACCTCTCACTGGGCTTGGAGGTGGTCAGAAGCAGAGGGGCTTCATGCTGCTTCCTGAGCACTTTCAAAGGCTAGCATGACATCAGAGACAAAATTCCACACATGCACCCCAAGTTGAAAGAAGAACTGAGGTCAATGATAAGTTTGGGCTTTTTTGTGTGTGTGCAAAAAGTCCTTCCATGACTGTTGGCAGCATCATTCAAAGCTAGGGGCAGATTGGCTCTTCTCAGTCTGCCCAGCCCTCGCGTCTGCCAAAGCAGAACAGTTTTGCTGACTTTCAGAAGGATATCGAATTTTACCTCTAGGAGTGAGAGGGAAAATTCCACAGCTGGGATCTGGCGTCTTCCTACCGCTCTGTAACAGGCCTGCCCCACTTGCAGTCTGCAGGCTGATGGTTCCGCTCCCTTGGGTTTTGCTCAGCATAACCTTAATTATCTGTTTTCAGCCCACTTTCTCCCGAGCTTGTTTTGTGTTCAGTATTGAAATTCAAGCAGCTCGGTGGGCTTGCACTCATCATAGCACATGTGCTGGCTTGGCAGTTGTATAGGTGAGCGTGGGAAGAGACTTTGGCACTGAAAACGGCAGCAGAGAGAGGAGGCAGTGTTGCTCCATGCGATGGAGCGCTTGTTGACTTGCTTGAGTAGGTGAGGCTTAGCTGAGGGTAGAAGCGAAAACAGGGAAAGAATGCCTACCTCTGATTTTATGCTGCTTGTGTGACAGTTTAGTTCATAATGTGGTCTCTTGTTTTAATTTTCAGCTTTGCAAGCTGTCCTGAGTGCCCCATTTCAGTAGAAGGGCAGGGCACAAATGTCTTAAATAACCTCCTACTGCTTTTCTTCGGCTTTGCCTTGTCTGTCCTGGCTGTGGGAAGATTTGGTCATAAGCCCTTCTAGACCGGGTACTCCTACTTGTTTGCACCAGGGACTTCTTATCGTCTGGTGGCTTCATTTCTCTTTTGGGGACCTGTCTGGCTAGATTTACACACACTCCACCATTTGTTTGATTTTCCTGTTTCCCAAGTGTCGCCTGGCAGAGTTTTCCTCTTTTATAATATTGTGCTGCTGTCATATGCTGTAGCCTGGCTGTCTATTCTGTTTTCCCTCTTGGATCATCTTCAGTGGATCTTCCCTTTTGAGCCTCTGAATGTACTTCTGCAAAGCACTGAATCTGTCTCTTTAAATTGGGTCTGTTGCTTCCCTTCCCAGGCCGCCTTGCCCTCTCTGAACTATGTTCCACTCAAGGCTACAGGCATGATCACTGTTTAATGCTCTCTTTTGGCAGCAGGATTTCTGACACTCTGATGCTAATTTTCTCCCCAAGACTTCTATCTTGAGAGTGCAGGCCAGACTGAGACATTTTGGCACCTGAGACAGAAAAACCAGAATGATACTATCTTTTTCTTTCCATGCTATTAAAAATATCACAGATTAAATATCTGACAATTAGCTGCCCTACCTTTAATGGCTCTCAGAATCTGCTGCCAGAGGTGGCCTCCTCATCCAGCCAAACTCCAGGCCTGTCATATCTCCCTCCTGGAGTACCTCTCTTGCACTCTTCTTTTTCACTCTCTCCACCCTGCACATTGGATTCTTGCCGCTGCTCAGATTGGCAGTTCAGTTCCAAGATTGGCTTGACTTTTCAGGAGCCATTCCAGTGCTTCAGGAAACCTGAGACTGTTTCTAGAACTTGATCGACTTGTGTGGCCAGATGCCAGTAGCCATCTCCAACAGGAGGCCAATTGGTGCTCCGGTTTTCCTGCTAGAGGCACCCTTTGTGTTCTGCTTTCAGTAAATCATCTCCAAGGTTGGCCTTTCTTGCGAAAAACAACAGTAGTGTAATATCTATTGCGAAGACCAGTTAAAGTGCTACTAAGTAATGAGCAAGGCTTTAAATGCCCCAGAACTTCTCATCAGGATGACTATTCAGTTGGTTCACAATGTTAATAGATAATTTGACAACATATAAATGTTTACAAGAGAGATAGGAATGTTAGTAGCCTGAACTCTTAGAGCTCAGAAGCTAAGGAGGGTTGGTACTTGGACAGGAGACCACCAAGGAAGACTGGGAATGCTATGCAGACAATGACAAACCATCTTGGCTGCTCTCTTGCCTTGAAAACCCCATGAGGTGGAGCTTCGTGGGGTCGCCATGAGTTGTCTGCAACTTGATAATACACACTTTTATTTTACTTATTCCTAGATAATCTCCAGTGTTGCTACAAGGGTTGCCATGTTATTTTCATGGTTGCACTCTGCCTTACAGTATACCCTTGTGTTCAAATTAGAGACAGATTTGAATTATTGCTGTTTTAAAAAACATATTCTCAAGAAAAAGGACAGCTGTTCCTTCTTTCTCTCATTCTCCTAGCAGCCTTTGGTACAACCTAAAATCTGTTTTGCACTGAGTTCATTCTAGCCCAGCTGTTATAAGCCTTCTGAAAACTGTAACGAACAATAGACTGGGCAGCCTTTCCATAATGCAGTAAGCGTATTTATTTTCCTTTCACCACCCTCTTTTTAAAGTCAGCATCTGACCTGACAAGTTCTGGTAAACTTGGCAGCTTGCTCAGTGCTTTACAATGGTTTAGCTTGTCCCTATTAAAAATATTACACTAACTTTTTAAATTGTCCTGAATACCTACCTGTAGTTTTTGTTGTCTTTGCCAGGGATCATCCTGTCTTTCATCTCTACTTCTTGTCTTTGCCCACTGGCAGTGTGTTCTGCTCTTAGGAGCTCCATTAGTGTGGAGAAAGACTTATTCCTTGATCCTGCACTTTCCTTTATTTATTTTATTTATTAGTTCGATTTATACCCCGCCCTTCCCGCCAAGGCGGGCTCGGGGCGGCTTACATAAAATGCATATATAAATACAGTTAAAAACATACATAAAACATCCAAGAACAATCAGAAACCATTTTCGAAAGTGCCGAAAACAAAGTGCAGAGCGGAGATTCCTAAAACCAACCGTATCACTATGAATGCAAGTTTTTTCCTGAGCGACTCAAGTATGATAGGTTTCCACTCCAACGTGCCCTATAATTCATTTGCTCCAATGGCCCACTGAGTATAGAACTCTTTTTGAAGGACATCATGAACTTTATTTTCTGCTGTGTTTGGCATTCTTGATTTTATTTGAACATGGGTGGATGGTCCAGCCCTTCCCTACTGTGCTTATTTATTAGTAGAGGCTAAGAACAAGCACTCTGTGCTGAGTTAGCTTATGTTAAACTTTTTAAGTTGCACAGTTAGTTCCTTCACACGAGCCCTCCAAAAGTGCATTATGAAATGCAGCAAAGTATTTAGACTGCAACCTGCTTTCTTTGTGGGGGCTGTGATAGGAACCTGTATACTTCCATGTAATTTAAAACCTACTTCTTTACAACCAAGATAACAGAGCAAAGATGAAAATAAGGAGTAAAGTAACTAGTATGTTTGTAATGCCCTGTTAATATTTAAACAGTAATTTAAATACGGCTTTTGATTTGCTAAATATAGCTTTTGGTTTCCTCTAGATATTTTCTCTCAAATGTCTGATTCCAATGGCTTGATGATATTTTCAAAGTTTGACCAGTTTCTGCGAGAGGTTCTGAAACTTCCAACAGCAGTTTTTGAAGGACCTTCCTTTGGCTACACAGAAAACTCTGTGCGGTCGTGTTTCCCTCAGCAGGTAAGTTTAGCCCTGGAGAGTACAAGGGTTGCTGTCTTATGTTTGTGTGATGTTACTTCAAAAGAATCTTGAAGTTTGATTAAATAAAGGGGGAAGAATGAGCATAAACAGTTACATGTTCTTTACACTTCAGGAGACTTCACACTTGGACCTCAGTGGTGCCCTATGACAATTTGCAGTCCAGTCCCAAGCACCTGTGGCAAAATGGCCATATCCCACCTTTACTGCCACCAAATATTTTATGGAAAGCTGGTCAGCAGCACCATTTTTGGTTATTTCCTGTTTTGCTTAGCTAGTGCATCGAGGTAGGGTATATCACGGACCCCTTGATACCGCTCAAAGGTTTTCCTCTGAGTATGCAGCATCAACTTCACATGAGCTTTATTGCGAAGCCCCAGTTTAGGGACAAATCATTTTCTGCTTATCCCTTGTTATGTGGGTTATAAGCATAGATTAACAGCAGTGATCCCAAACATGGCACCCATGGGCGCTGTGATGCCCACTGATGTTTTCTGGTGCTCCTTTGCTTCTTCCTGAAAACAATTTTTCCTTAATACAGAGAACCAGTCCTGGCTGTCTTCCATCTTATTGGAGCAGAAGGTGCTTCAGAGAATCCCGGGAGGCATCACCTTTCGGTCTGCAGGGAGCATCGATTCAGAAATAGCTTCCTCTACCATGGGAGAATGCTTGGCTTGGAACTTCCCAGTGTTTTGTAACTGCCACCCACAGCAGTCATTTTGTTGCTGGTCCTGCTTGCCATGGTAGTCATTTTGTGAGGGTGCCCATTACCTTTTCTCAAAATTCCAAGAAAATTCCCAAGAATCTTGGTGGTCTCTAAGGTGCTGCTGGACTTGAACCTAACTGTTCTTCTAGAGATCAACAGAGTTACCCTCTGAAGCTATCAACATTCCAAGGTGTCCACAGGTTTAACGAGGTTGGGAACTTCTGGTTAAGAGGAAACCACTTATTATGAAGCAAAATACAAACTATCCAAACCTGTGTTACTATTAACTGATTTTTAAATCAACATTAGCAAGTGAATTGACTCAGAAGCTAAGATATTAGTGATTTCATACACTCAGCCATTTAGATTAACTGTATTCTTTCTAGATCCTGTAACGTCTCCTTAACTGAAACTATTCCTGTAACTGTTTCTGTCCAGTACCATCTTCCAACAGTAAAAACCTTACTTTAATTCCTCAGATTTCATAACAAAATTCCCCCCCAACGAATATGCTAACCCTCTCTGTCATATCAACGGTTTC